CCCCAAAACCCCAAAACCCCAAAACCCCTCACAAATCTACTTATTTAAACCTTTGCATTATTTTTAACTTAGCTTATAAATATGGAGAAACTTCTGAGTAATCTAATCTTTAACCCACAGCCGACTTCAGCTACATTTGATGGATTCTTCCCTATCTTGGCAAACCCCCTACTTGGAAGTAAGTTGCTTCTTAATTCCTAGAAAGCTGCTCTGCTCTCTATGATCTAAAACTCTAAAGTATATTTGGTATAACTTTGAGAACTTATAAGACTTACCAGCCTGAGCTAGATTACTTGTACACGGCAACAGCTTGGACAGACCATACAGAAGAAATAATATCTGCATACTGACAGTACTGGCTGTCTAAAATGTAGACTGACTGATTCCGAATGCTCTCTGACCACTACTAATAGCTTCATTGTGTATTCCAACAGACAGGACCACTTAGATTTCTTAACCCATAGTATTCCTGCTGTATTACTTTTAGTTGTTCAGAAAGCATTTGTAGTCAGCTAGGCTTACCTTTAGGTTGTCCTTCCCCAATTATATCGATTAGGAATTTACTATATGGAGAGTTTAGACCAGTCCCATATTGACTGAATTGATACTATCATGCAAAAGATATCTCATCCCATTACAAAGTTTGAGCTTAACTGAATGGGAGACAGGCAGGTAACTCAAAGGATAACACTAAAGGCTCTGGCAAAGTTCAACAAAGGATTAAAGCAAGCCTTGCCACATGTAGTCAAAGAGGTTTGCATTTTTGGATTTTGAGTAACTTCTGGCGATCTCAAAACTATATTTGAATCAGCTTGTGAAGCAAAAGTTATCAAATTTACAGATTGTAAACTTGACACTGAGAATTGGTATTTAAAAATATTAAAATGTAGGGATATAATAGAATTTGATAAATCTCTCGGATACCAAACAGAGGAGATCTTTTTCTTACACAACAAAATCTTTATTCCAAAGATATCATCAGAAAGTGATATCGGCAACTAATAAAAGCATTAGTAAATAGAGGCTATTATAGTTTAGAACGGCACATCAATGATATCAACCCTGAGCACATTCAGTGTGGATTGTTCCGATCTTTCAATCTAAACAATCATAAATGGGGTTTTGGGGTTTTGGGGTTTTGGGGG